TAACTGGCACCCCCCATTCCCCAGGGATGCCAGATAACAGAGCTTTTACTGTATTACCATTTGAATCTGCCTCCTGATATTTATGCTTTGAAATATGACCTGTTCTTGACTTCATATTTGACTCATAATACAATGTAGAATATGCTGTGCAAGTAAATCATAGAACAAGGGTGGGCAAAATATGGCTCATGGGCCGGATCCAGCCTGCCAGGCCATTCTATGCGGCCTGTGAGGCCCCTAAAAATGTAGAAAATGTATATTTATCTGCTTCTGGTTGCCTGTCAAAGATGACAGGAAATAGGGGCAGTAGGACCAGGGGGAACCAGCAGTACTCAGTAGCAAGGCTACCCATGTGGCCCTTGACACCTCACCTAAATGCAGTGAGCATCCCTCCACCCAAAATAATTGCCTGCCCCTGGACATAGAATCATAGAAAATGAGGGTTGGAAGGGACCTCAGGAGGTCATCTAGTCCAACTCCCTGCTCAAAGCACGACCATCCTCAACTAGATCATTCCAGGCAGGGCTTTGTTGAGCCAGGCCTTAAAAACCTTCAAGGATGGAGATTCCACAACCTCTCTAGGTAACCTGTTCCAGTGCTTCACCACCCTCCTAGTGAGAGAGATATTCCTAATATCCAACCTAAACCTCCCTTGCTGCAACTTGAGACTATTGCTCTTTGTTCTGTCATTACCAAGAACAGTCTAACTCCATCCTCTCTGTAACCACCCTTCAGGTGGTTAAAGGCTGCTATCTAATCCCCCTCAGTCTTCACTTCTGTAGAAAAAATAAATTTAAATAAATAAATGTTTATGTGTACAGAGTTAAGCACTTAAAGAACAGAAAATGCAAACATAAGACAGAACATTTAACCATAGCCTTCTTTATTTCTGTATTAAGACTGTATTAATTCAGTCACATACTATTTCTCTGAAAGTTTATAGAAAAATACTATCTTTATAGATACTATCACATCCATTGCCTTTTGTAATTTACTTTTTTTATTAACATATGCTATATATGTTCATGACTATTGATAAAAATAAATTGTAAGAATACAATAAAATGTACTCCATGAAGTATGATCTGTTTCAGGTAATGTTGGAAATCAAATGAGTTATTTTTCTAATGGGCATTATGTGTATTTTTTCATCAAAACTAAAAATAAATACAGAATGGAGACATGTACAATTTTTTTGGCCAGCATGGCCATAAGTTTTATAGTGTTTGGTTTTTAATTTTTCTTTCAAACATTAGTTATTTCCTTCAATTGTACTACTGTTTTTTGTTGGGTTTTTTTTTCAGTAAGATTTTATTGGTGTGAGGGACTTCATAACTTGCCACAGTAGATTTATGTTTAAAACCAGTTGACATTTACAGTAATTTCTAATTACTGGCACACAATATCAGTCTGCTTGTTTGCTATTTCTATGGGGGGAAATGGCCTCCAGCTTTTTCAGTGTTTCCTAGTTTCATTATCCTGCTGTACTTGGGTTATAAGACAATAGTAGCAAACATCTGGAGCACTATTTTCGTGCAGATGCTCCAGGAAACCTATCTGCTTAAGAGTCTCTTTTAAGAAATATTTTTGTGCAGGTATAATAAATATAATGGATAAAGAGGAAGAAGAAAGGTATTAATCCTAAACCATTGGAGTAAATCCTGCTTTCATTACCTAAGCAAAAGTCGTGTTAAAAAAAGGGTCCAGGTACAACGGTGATGGGCAGAATGAGTGGTGCTCCTTAGAAAGAATAACATAACTTCTTTCTTATCTACACTGCCCCTAAATGCAATCTCAAAATTGACTACTTTCCAGAATTTAAAATCATCAGTGTTAGTATAAATTTAAGTGAATTATTATTTCCTTGTTAATGAGGTAATGAACTATCCATAATTATCCTAACAAAAAGATTTATTAAATAAAAACAGACCCAAATAAACCCAAAGCAAACAATGTCCCCTGCCACAAGCAATTCTATCACTTTCCCAATGGCTTGAAAATGTAGGTGAACTTTGCGCCTCGTCTGGTAACCTAGCAAATCTGGCCTCTAGTAGAAAAATGTCTTAAGCTATATGGTCAGTTTCACCGTAGTGGTTTTCTTTCTCGGTATTGATGCATATATTTTAATTCTGATAGCACCTGTAGTGTTCTGGGAGTGTGCACCCTGGGAATACCTAGTCTCTGCTCCAGACATCTAAGGGCTTTGATCTATTTCACATTATAGTACATAATATATGCAATATAGATGTATTTTAATAAGTGGTTATCATCTGTGTCTAATGACCCCTCTACTTAGCCATTACTGCTCGACTAGTTCCTTGTAACCATTACAGCAGAACAGGTATAATCTCCACGTTCTTAATTATTGTGTGAAGTTACTTAGTTTATTTGCAAATAATTTCGATTTTAGCTTTAAAGAAAAACATAGATTTAAGGTTACCTAAATAATCTGCATTCCTCAAGGGTTCTGAGCAATGTGGTGAAATTAACCCACTAAACAGGAAAATATGACACTTTCTCTGAACCCCTCAGCTTTGCTTCATTGCTGTCCCAGTGAAAGTCTTCAAGGTGTGGCCAAAAAGTACTGAGTTGTAACGATTTATTACCATACCTTGCCACTACCATGTACAAAATGCACTTATCCAGTAAGAACCAAATCCTGCTTACTGTTATAAAGTCAAACCCCTGCTGAAATCACTGAGTGATGTGTAGCCTTATGGACCGCTGGATTTGATCTTACATCTATGCTGAAAACTAAAAATGAAAAAAAAATCATGTTAACCATACTGTAAATACTCTGGGGTATGAGAGGATGGTGACTTTTCAAGGTTGATGGAGGGAGGTTCAGGGACCAGTCTGGCGCAGAGACCCAGAGGCTGCCTGAAGGAGACGCGGGGAAGAAAAAAGTCCCAGGGTAATATTTAGGGATCTGAAAATAACTCAAGCTCTTGTTCTCTTTTGGAACCAAGGGACTTGCCATTAGGGCAAGCCAGGACTTCCCCCTACCTCAGCCAACCAGGGAAGGTTTGGAGAAGAGTAGTATGTAATTTGCCTCTTCTCTCATACTTTACCCTCATACTACTAATCCCTCCCTGGCTAGGGAGGAAAAAATGGAATGTGTTTGCCTCTGCCTCCAAAGTTGTACAGAGCAGTGAAAAATCCCACCCCAGCAAGAATGTCTGGAGTGGAAAAAGGCATTTAATCAGAGAACCTTTGATGCTAGTTTTTAGTTGAGAGATTTTGCTGCCAGACAGGTGGAGCCAGGAGTTAATCATTTATAGGGCAAGGAGGGAATCCATGTTTGTATAGTGCCCAACATGATGGAAGTCCAATCCTAGCTGAGGCTTAAGAGCTTGCACATAATATATGTGTTTGATAAGAAAGGATAAATAGACTCCCTTTCTCCCCAGAAGAGCTCATTATCCTTCTTAAATTTAGCCTTTCCTGAAAGAAGGCTTCAGGTCATTTTCAGTTGCTATATTTGAAAGTATGTAGAAATCTGCTACTGATAGAAGGTAAGCACTGTGATTTTATTCTGAGAGACTCCTAAGTAACCACTCACTAGAGTCTACCAAGAATTTACAAAGTGCCCTCTCGCTCCATTTCCTTTGATTCTACCTGGATAAACTGATGCAGAAGAGACAACGAGTGAAGAAATCCCTAAATATTTACATCTCAGAAATAGCACCTTCTGACAGTTACGCTTTGAAAACATGCAGTGATGGAAGCTGAATCCTGAATCTTTGAAGTAGTGTGGTGATGAACATGTGAGGAATGCCTAACGGCAGTTTTGAGTCCCCTGACATTTCTGAGGTACTTGAAAAAGTATCATATAATTCATAATATGACTGGCTTTTTTAGGCTTTATGATGCAGGAAATCCTGAAAGATGAATTATTTTATAACATAAGAGCATTGCAATTTCATAAAGACACAGAAAGCCTCTTACAATGAAATTATTCTTTCTACCAAAACACATCACTCCAAGCAAAGATCTTGATCTAATTAGGATTACAAGTTAATGTGCTGTGAAACAAGGGACTTTCTTTTTATGCCACTATAAATGGGAATTCATTGTGGATATGTTCATTCTAGTGTACATGAGCTGATATAAGCACCAGTGAAGTTGTACCCAAGCTTTTAATGCAGGGCCGAAGTGTGTTGAGTTCAGTGGGTGCTGGGCTGGATTCATAATTAGTCCTAAAGTTTTAGTGTTAAAACATTTCTTCTTCTGACTCCCTAGATTTTCAAAATCTATTACTATATTTTGGTAGTGCTTCATGGCCAAAACTAAGGATGAGAGCCTGTGGTGCTAACTGCTAAACAGACATGAAATGCCAAGGCAGTTTCTGCCTTGCAACACTTCGTTTATGGGAAGGAGCAACAGGTGGATGAGAAGCAAAGGGACTGGGTTGTGGGGAGGAAGATGTTAATGGTGGAATGAGCAGCTTGTACTCGGTAAGCAGTATGTGCAGCTTACCACCTGCCTGCTATGGTCAGCTGGCAGGGTTTTCTGGGCTTGATGGCAGCAGTCAGCCTTGAGTACAGGGATCTGAAGGAGACTACAGTAATATTGCAGACGTGCAGGCATTTAAACTTACATAATAATTAGATTTTGTCTTTATAGCACTCTTCAACTTTAGGTTTCAAGGCTCTTTATGTAGGAGGCCAGTTATCATTATCTCCATTTTAGTTGAGGAAATTTGCAGTACAGAAAGGGATCAGTGCCCAGTGCCAACCTACCAGGCCTGGGACAGTGCCAGAAATTGAACTCAGGTTTCTTGAGGCCCAGTGCAGTGCCGTAAAATCCCCACTATTACAAACCCAAGCTAGAAATATTGCCAGTATGTTGAACAGAAGTGGGGGGGAAATGGTTTGAGCATGACCTTACAGCCCAGATGTTGCCTGAGTCTGGTTACAGTTAACAAAGTTATTAAATGCCAATTTCTGATAGCACCAGTTTATCTGTTTGCGATTTTGATATGCTGCATTACTTTCCAGGCAGAAATTTTAACAGGCCTCCCAGTTGGCAACCCTGAAGATGCCGGGAAGGTGGGATCCGTACTACTAGAAAGAGGCTGTAAGCTGGTAATTGTCACTTTGGGGGCAGAAGGCTGTGTGATGATATCAAAGGAAGATCCCATTCCAAAGCATGTTCCTGCTGGGAAGGTCAAGGCCATGGACACTACGGTACATTTTTGTGGTTTAACTGTCTTGCTCTGGAAAAGACTACTTAAGCACTAAAGCAAAGCAATGAGTAATCAGCCAAATTTCTGAGCACTAGCACAAAAGCTAATATATTATGTGCAGCTGATATCCTGCTTCCAGTCTGTTACATATTAAATGTCAGCTCACTGAAGTGGTATAGGCTGTACTATGATTATACTAGAGTTACTTTATGCACTGAGGGTGTCTTCATAGTGCTCTCTTCACTGGAGTCAGTACTTCTCTCTTTTCTTTCTCATTTATGCACAAGGACTGTGGCACAAGCTGCAGCCCTGTTGTGATCATATATGTACAGTCAGGTAATTCATCATCTCTAGTATTCAAATGATCCTGCTGTTTATGGAGTGGGAGAAAGGAGGGAATGCTGCCCTCTGACTCTGAAAATTGAATGGCTGACTCTTCCTACACATGTCTGAACTGCTTTCCCAGACAAAAAGCCCTGCCTTAATCTAGGCTAATTAGTGTCAGGTGCTCAGTTTCCACAGAAGGTGGTGAAAAGGCACAAAAAACATACTGCATCTGATAAAGGATACCTAGCTTTTAGTCCTTATCAGTTACTCTAGTACGTTTTTCCTCTCTGTTCAAAGTGAAAGGCAGAATGCCCTACCTTAATTGAACATTAGGACCAAAACAAATGCATCAGTAAAATCAATAGTTAAGCTTTTCATGGCTGTGGAACGTTACCGCATTGCACATATAAGGCTATTTTGTGCTCTTAGTTACATCTGATGTAAATCCGAACTAAATCCAGTGGAGTTACTGAGAGTTGTGTTTGACCCCCTGCATGTGCTAACTATACTTTTAAATGTCTGAAATAATAACATCATATTACATATGTTCTGCTACACTAAAAACATTGCAGAAACACTTGGAGATTTGGCCATCTGGTGCATTCTATATTTGAGCTGTATTAATAATAATATGTGGTTCTTATATAATGCCATTCAGCCAAAGCGCTACAAGTGCTTTTCAAAGGAAGAGACTACCAGTACTTTACAAAGGGGGAAACTGAGGCACAGAGCACTGAAATGACCTACCAAGTGGCAGCCAGTGACAGAGCCAGGAATAAAATTCACTTCACTCAAACAGAGGGTTCATTATTGCAAGGTTTACATTGTGATTCGTTGATATATTATGGGGCTTCATATTTCACCTTTAAATTTCATTATGTTCAGATTAACTCTACAGTTCATGCTAAACTGTTTTCTTCTTCCCCACCCTGCCCCCTGCCCTTCTGTCATTAAGAAGTTTTGTGATGACTCAGATCCATTGCCCTTAATGGAGGCAACATTATGTGGTGGATAGGAATAAAGAAACGAGTTCAGTTCCTGTCGCCGCCATCTCTACCATTGAATTGTGATCTGATCTGGTGCTAACTGCTTCATCTCCCTGTCCTTCATGTCACTGAGTGTGTTTTTACAGCGTGGGTTACAGAAGGGATAAAGAACCATGAGTGAACCCCCACTTCCTAAAATTGTCACCAGGTCAGCTAATGTTTGCTAACTGAAGATATTTGTAGTAGTTGGGATACTCTAGCGGTGCTGAAAGGGCACACTGTGGCTGAAAAGTACCTTTTGTCTTGTTTGGCAGTTTAGAACTTCCTGACTGAACTGTTTTAATAGTCCTGTTTTTCATACAGTGATATATATATTTTCAAGCTTCCCAAATCCTTGTCCTGCCTCCTTGTGGTGAGCAGGTTATTGTGAGAGTTTTTACAGTTAATTTTATTAATCTTCTTAAATAACAGTGGGTTGTTTCAATGCAACAGCTGTGCTCAGTTTACTCTTGGAGACAGAATGAAAAAAACATGTGTTGGCCTTCCATTATAAATGCCTAGTGATCCTTGGCCTGATAATTACTGTTCAGTAAAGCAAGTGCCTTTAAAGAAACCTTCTAAATACTACTCTGAATAATGTGTCATTCTTCAGTAACCTGGGTAAGTTTATTATTTAAATACTAAAAGTTTGAATCAGACATTTTTCCACTCTTCAGATAAGTATCTTATTGGCACAGTATTGGCAATCCCAAGAGTTCAAAACTGTCAATCAGATTTACAAAATTAGATTGAAAAAAACCTTCATGATTTTTAAGCTGTAAGAACACCTTTGATAGCATTCTGGTTTCTGAGCATTTGGAGTGCCCTCAGGTCAGATTTGCAACCATGAGAGCTAGAAGCTTACTTGGATGCTGAGATGCCGATGCAATCTCATCATTTCAGCAGACAAGGCTTTCAGCAAGATCCAAAATAAGATCAGGAGAACTGACAGCACTGTATCAGGTCCTCTAAGCCTGCCATGAGCGGTATGTAACCAGAAGCTCTCTCTATAGTAGCACTGCCCTCATTCCTGCCTCCAGTTCCTCTCCACTGGTGACAGCAACAGTGTAATATTTGAGAGGAAAAAACCTGCATAGATACAGCCAAACAAATACAGAATTGAATACAGTTGAACCAGAGATGATGTGCCCCAGCCCTCATCTCATTAACAGTCTTATCAGAGAGGGTAGAGATCAGACTGAACCTAGAAGCTAAACTTTCCCCTCAGTTTTGGAGCTGGTCTGTTTGGGTCAGGATAAGAGACGGATGGTCAAACCATGGGGAAAGCTGGCATGCACCATCTATTCTGTGGATAAACAAGGAGATGAGTATCTAGAGCTGCAAGTCTGGCATTTTTCAGCCACACTAACTTCATTCTATAAAGAAGGAAAAAAATGACTTGGTAGATTTTTTTATCACTAATTATCTTAATGTGGGCTTTACTAAAGTATGTGAAGTTTCCCAGGACTGTTAGCAGAACTGTCCATAGACAGTATAAGAAATCTAGTATACAACTAGTGATTTAGAAGGAAGTTTTGCAAGATGGGGTATTGTAAGGCCCAAACATCTGCTTCTCTTGTTATAATGACATACTGTAACAAAACCTCTCTCGGAAAGAAGTGACATTCCTTTCAATTGACTCGTTCATGATAAGCTTTTATATATATTTCAGTTTTTAGGAATACCAAATTCCTGATAATTTTGGATAATTTAGTGAATTATCAATAAATAATATGATCTGATTCTTCTTTTACGGAGAAAATAAAAACAAATAGAGCCATGTCATTTTAACACTAGTGTCTGGACACATACTCTGAGGATTTTAATACATGTAATCTAAATAAGGCTAACTTACAGGATAATATACCAAGCTCCAGAGGATCTACTACAGTATTTTTTATCTGTTTCAAATTACATTTATGAATTTTCCTTTCCTATTTTTAAAGGACGCTATTTTTCACTTTCCTTGAAATTGAATACACAGAACCAGATTAAAATAGCTTTAAAAGTTAATGATCTTCTGTTTATATACTGCTTTCTATTCCAATTAGCAGCAGAATTCTTTACAACTCTTGCATACAAATAGATAACATAATACACACATACACACGTGTATTGTGTGTCCCTATAAATTATGAATCAGATTGCCTACTGCTGAAATTCATCCACAGCTGAGGTGGGATGCAGCAACTTTTTAGCAACTCACCCCAACACAACTCAGCAACATGGAACAAGGAGTGAAAACTGTCAGGCTAAAGTCAGGTGTGACAAATTGGGATTATCAGTATGGTGAACAGCAGCATAACTTAGGCTCTGAGGGCTAGACTCTCCTTAGTTTGTGACAGCAGCTGCCACTGGATACCAGGATATAACATCCTTGGAGAAGCATCAAGTCTGCTAATGGGGAAGGTTGGGGTGATACAAGTTGTCCAAAACTTCCTCTGTCTGAGGGAACATATGGACAATGTGCAGCCTTTGCTCAAAGTTTCCTTTTTTGCCTTGTTATTTTAGCCTCTTTTAAAGCCTTTCTTTTCCAGCTATAATCATGCCTTTTCCTCTTTGCAGTCATTTGAAGTATGACTTGTGGCACTGTTTACATCTCCAAATTATATTTCACTGAATTGCTGAGGAGAATTTACATCAGGAGAGAAAAAATATGCAAGCTGGAGTTTGACTACCACCAGGACTAGCTCCCTTTTGTTTTGCAAACTGCCTGCTGTTCAGTAGCTTTTGAATCCCACAGTTGGGCATGTAGAATTGGGTGTTTTAGTATCTGCATCCTGACTTGCACATGGAAGTGCTGTCTGTTCACATAATTGGTGAAGATTGTGCACACAGCACTTAGAGGAGGCTTGGAGCCCCTTTTTAAGTGTTCCTATAATTATTGCAGGAACAAGTATCTGGTTTATATCTCAGCCAAAACACAGCATCTGTAACATCACCATGGCCCATGGCAAACCTGTTGAATTTCTAGTGCCACCAGATATTCTTCTGTCCATCTCTTCTGTCCTGGTACTGGTCAGAGATTTGATGAGAGAACTGAGGAGATCACAGCTTGAGGTGACATAGGTGATCACAGACAGGGGAGCTTATAGAAGGCAGAAGTGTAAAAGTTGTTTTGCCCTCTTGGCCAGATCCAGACTGCAGGGCATTTTGAGGGTTGGACCCAGATTCGCCTCCAGTGGTGGGTGGCATTATCCATTGTGCTGCCTGCACTACTGTGTCAGCACAGGGAAACTCAGGGCCTAACATAGCAATTGCTTGCACTACTGTCACCATAATGTGTCCCTAACACAACTCTATACCCTGGAATTCAGTGGTTGGTTCTACCCTCACTCATCCTACCTCCTCTAGGAGCCCCATGAGCCAGATGTTTGACTCTGTTGGCTAGGGACAGACATTCAAAAAGCCTGAGCCTGAATTGATCCAATCTTTAGAGGTTAATCTAACCTGCCTAGCCTGAATCCATTTGTAACTGTGCAGACATCTCCTCTGAACTGAGAAAATGGCTTAGGCTAGAAGCCGGGGGGTGCTAAAGCAGCCTACCCTTCCTTTTTTATAGTGCTGAGCTGAGGGGGGGCGTGGCCAGGCCCCAGCCGGAGGCTCTGATTAGGGAGGGATTCCCTCCCCTCACTGGTTAGTGAGGTAG